TTATGTTTTTCTTAAGATATTTTAATTGTCTCAATTTCAAATTATCTAGCATAATGGTAAGAAACTATAACTATTACATTAAAATATTTAAGTACATTAATGAATGTGTTAAAACATTAAAGAAATATCAAATAAAATATTGATACTTGAAGCGAACATAGTAGAAGAGTTCATGGAATAGAAAAATATAAAAATATAGAGTTGGATAACTGAACAACATTAAGGATATGAAACAGATTTTAAAAAGAAGTTGTTACATGGGGAAATACAGCATACTGGTTAATCTGGCCACAGTCCAACCATGATCACCTGGGTCATTTATCCTCTGTAAATTAGAATAACAATGCTTTCCCTCAAGGTTGTGAAGCTTCAAGATAATAAAGTTCCTGGAACTTAGTATCACTAAAAAAACATTATTATTATTATTATTATTATTATTATTATGTACTTCAGCTAGAAAATAAGTCATCAGAAATAATTATATGTAATTTCTTCTTTGAAATCACATTTGACAAATTTATGTATGAATGAGCAGCATTTAAATTAAATTACACCTTGTGTTGCATAATGCACTTGTTGAAAAGCAGAAAGCAAGGAAACACAAAAGTGAACTGTATTTAAAATGAATAGGAAAATTTTCTACTTGAAAGAATGTGCTGAGCCATTCTTTTCAAAGTCAAGCAGCTTTGAATTCAGAATAATCAGTCCTGAATATCATGTTTATAAAAGTGAATTTTGGTAGTCAACTTGATTAAAGTAAAATATATCAATATGTCAGCTGCTCTGCTTCAATATATTTGCAACTAACTCAAAACCTACACACTCTAATTTTAAGGGTATTATATACTTTAGAAAAATTAAGTTACTACTAACTTAAAGTCATCAAATTAGCTTGCTTTTATAAGTTGAGTACTTTATGTCAAGAGGAAATTAATCAGTGATTTGTTTTATTAGTATATTGGTGACCTAACTTAACATGATTATCCCAACATCAAAAGAATTCTTTTCCTGTTTACTCAATTAAACTCAACATTTAATGTCTATGAGAAACAAAATATTTCATATATTTTCAAAAATTCAAATTTATGGCCCATGATAAAAAATAAAGTCTGAACTACAGCACAGTCTACAATACTTCAGTTATAAATGTTTGTAAAACTTGGTCTCTGGTTAACATGAGACAACAGTGCCACCTCTAGTTTATTGCAGTTCAATACCAAAGTTTTATAAAAATTGCTTACTGAGATGACTGAATTTCACTGAGGTAGTGGACTGGAGGATCTGAAGCAAAATCTTACTTAGTGATATCATCTGCTTTCATATGTAATTTGTGGTGTTATGATTTTGAATAACTTTGGCTAATAGGTTAGCTTTTATACTGTTGGTCTGTGCCTTTGAATACTACAGTATTTTCCATTTAATGGAAGCAAATACACTTAAATGTAAGACTCAGATTCTAAGAACTATGGATAATGAGAGAACAGAGCTTCAGAAATACTTCATGGGACAGCTTTAGATTTAATTTCAGCCAACATTTGTTAAGCATCTTAAAAACCCAAGATGAACGATAGTAGGTATGAGCCTATTTTTAATGTTCTGCATTGATTATTTTAAACACTTTGGTGATATTAGTTTCTCTGTCATACAGAGGAGGAACCTTAAGCCTAAAACAATGTAATAAACCTGCCAAAGTTAACCTGCCCGGTGGCTGAGCCAGGACACACTTCCAAGTCAGTCGAACAAAGGATTTTCCCCAGCAGCTGGACTTGTTGGCAGAAGGGCAAATTTCCCCCTTTGCCAAAGGGTGGTGCCCATAATCCTTTCACAGACTTCAGGGTCATCTGTGCCCAGTGTGAAAATAGCTCCTAACTGGACACCAAGTAATCAGTAAGATCTAGGAGATTTTTACAAATACTGTTATAGTGGAGTGACTCACAGGAGATGGTTGGGTCCTTTGCACTAGTGCTGACGGAACTCTTGTCAGTAAGTGACAGATCCCCTCTGTGATGTTTGAGAAGTAAAAGACAAAGAAACATGGAAAGGATTCATGGGTATTGTTTTTCCTCTACCACTTGGATATCTCATTGTTAGAGAGAATAGAACTTGAAGCAAAGACCCATCAGGTTGGGAACAATAAGGGTATCTCATAGATGTAACCAGTGGTTCTCAAAGTGTGGCCCATGGATCAGCAGCCACAGCACCACACCTGCTTCTGTGAAAGATGCAAATATGCGGGCTCCATTGCAGACCCACCACATCTATCCAGAGGGACAGTGCGCAGAAATCTGTTTTATAACAGATCCTCCAAGTGGTGCAAGATGCAGGCTGAGCTTTGAGACCCATTCTTGTGAAAGAATTTCAGCCGCTGTGAATGCTAAGCCATTGCTGTTCTTCCCTTCAACCCACTCCATTGCAGCACTTGCTTCGAACAAAAGAGAAAACTGTACAGACTGCTTAAAGTGGATTTCTCAGAGCATGAACCATAAGACATCTGAATCAAAATCACTTGATTTTTTGAATTATAGATTTAAAAATCTAGACCCCACGTCAGATTACCAAGTTGGGATATCTGAGGGGTGGGCCTGGAGATCCGAATTGTATAAGCTCCTTCGCGGGCTCATCCCACGAGGCTGGCATGCTGTTCGCGTGGTTGGGGCAACGGAGCTCTTCGGCTAGAGACAAGTTTCGGTGACGATGTCTGCTTTATTAACAACCATGCGCAGTTTCTAAAGGGCAGGCAGAAGGGGCGTAACTAATTCAGGACAACACTAATTCTACAGAATGAAGCCGATATTGGTGCTGCTATGCTTCTCCAATCAGTTTGAAGGCCACATAGCTTTCCTGATGGGCCTGGGCCACACCCAGGAGCAGTTTACCTAATTGGCATAGGTGGGGGGAAATGTGCCCAGGGCTCCTGCCACCTGCCAGCAGCCAGGCTGCAGGTTGCCTCCCAGCAGGCATGGCACGCCTTGCCCTCCCAATCTCCTGCCTGGGCAGGGCAGGCAGTCTCACAGGATCACCCACACTCCCTGGGTGATTTTTACATTGACCAAAATTGTGAATTGCAATGTTACAGTAAGCACAGCAGTAGCAGTGTCAGAGTTACCTGGCACCAAAAGGTAACGACTGTTCTTCCACCCAGTTGTTATGAGGTTATTTATCCCGCACTGGCCTCAAAGGGGGTTTTAAAATATAGTCAACTCAACAATGTCTTGGAATGGAGATGACCAAGACCTCAGTTTCACCATGGCAAGGACCTAAGGCAAGTAGCTGTGGTCCAGGAGGTTGGGAACCACCCAGTTACCTCATTTTGAGCTGCAGGTGAAGGATCGTACTGCAACATCTGTGGATGGTACGGAAGGCCTAGCAATACCAAAAGGTAAAAATCCTGAAACCCGAGGCTTCCATTTCTATGCAAGCAGTGTTTCCTCAACTGTAAAGTTTTGGCTGTCAGGGATACCGAAGAACATAGGGGAAAAGTGCCCTTTGTGGCCTCCTCTACCCTGTAGCCTGGGTTTCTGATGAAAGAAGGTTTTATCCTGTAACTCCTAGAAATGCCTTTGTCTTTTTTCTCCTCTTGACCTGGTTCCAAAGCTCCTTATCTCTAACCTTTGCCCTTGTCCTTGTTCTCATTTAAATAACCTTGTTATCTTTCTGTAGGTTTATTTTTCTCACTTTTCCACTCACAAGTTAGACCAATGCATTTCTGTCTTGCCTGACCCCATCACTGGAAAGAGTCAGACTGCTTAGAGTGGAATCTTGCTTCCTTTGCAGAGCTCTGGTAATCCCATGCAGTGATGTTCCAGTCAGCTGCGAGACACAGCCTGTGTAGGAAGCAATGGCACAAAACAGCAATCAAAATTTACCTGGACTGGTGTTACTAATACCAGAAAAAAAAAAAAAAACAAATTTTAAGACAAAAGAAAGCTACTAGAAACAAAAAAGATTTTACAATAGAATTCAAAATACAGGACCAAAAAGTGTTAGAAATGAAAGAAAAAAAAAGATAATTGAGCAATAATAATTATTACTTTCAATACTCTAACTTTAATAATGGATAGTGCAAGCAAACAGAAAATCAGTATGGTAATAGAAGACTTGGGTAACACTGTAAACTCACTTGACCTGACTGATTTCCATGGAATACTTCACTCAATAACAGCAAAATATATATTCTTATCAAGTATGCGTGTGGACCTTTGTGCAAGACAGGCCATATAGAAAGCAATTAAACAAGTCTCAATAAATCTAAAAAGTATGGATATTATACAAGTGTATTCTGTAGTCATAATTAAGGAAATTGGAAATTATCAAGAAATAAATTTTGGAATTTCACAATGCTATGTGGAAATTAAACAACAGATTCCTGAGCAATAGGCAAAAAACAGAACTCACAAGAGAAATTGAGAGGTGTTTAGCAAGGGATGGAAAAGTAAATAAAACACATTAAGATAAGGAATGCAGTGGAAGCAGTGCGAGAGGAATTTATAGTTACAAATAACTACTTTTAAAAACATATTAAATCAATAAGTTTCTGCCTGAAAAAGAACTGTAAAGTTAAAATAAAAAGAAAAGAAAACTAAGGCCAAAGCAAGCATAAGGAAGAGTATAAGATTAGAAAAGGCCTGAATTCAGTGTTGTGCTGGAGGTACAAGCCAGAGCAATCAGCAAGAAATGAAATAAAATGTATATATATTATAAATAATTTGATACTAGCAATGTTTGCATAACGTTATGAATATACCAAAGACCAAAGTCAACAACTTAATGACCTCAATGGTGAGCACATGGTATATGACTTACCTCATTTTTATAAAAACAAGTCAACATCTTTTATAATACCAAACAGATCCTTATTTGGATTTATTTTTAAGGAGAGAAATTCAAATGGAGAAATTCAAATGTGTTACATTTTCCTTGCTTGCTCTCCTTGATCCTTCATAAAATGATTTTATTGTTATATCATGATTCACTGGTTTTCATTTTTACATCTCTTCCAGCTCATGCAGAGAAACATGAAGAATTAATTACGATGGGAAGCCCGGATTCCCATGCCAGCAGTGACAGTCAGAAATCTTCAGGAACATCTAAAACAACAAGGAAGGGCAAAGAAAAGTCTTCCGAGAAAGACAAGACAGGCAAGGAGAAACCAGCACCTCGCTTTGACCCTCAGGTGGGCGTAATACTTTTTTCCTTATGCAGCCACTTAATGAACATTGGTTCTTTGGGTCTCTGCTTGCCCATCTTTCCTGGGGACAAAACAGTGAAAACTTCATCTCCTTGATTCCAGCAGTCAGCTCTAGATTTCTTGGAGATATTTCAAGAAACCTTTCCTAAGCTTTTGTCGCTCCCCCTCTTCACGGAGGAACGACACTAAACCCTGCCTAGGTTTCCTATCCGAGTCACGGCACCATTATGTCGCTCCCCGTCTTCGCGGAGGAACGACACTAGACCCTGCGCTGTTCTTTTGTCTGCTCGGCCCTCCCCGGGTTTGCTGCTGGTTCTTCCTGGGTTGGCTACCAACCCTTCCACCTCCGTGGAAGGGCGGTTCCCCCTGCCACTTTCCCCACTTCCGCGGGGGAGCGGCACACCGCCGGCCGGCTCTCTGGGGGCTGCACAGGTGTTCCTTCAGATAGATGTTCCCCTTAGATGTTCCTGGTGCATGTTGTCTCTCTCCTCCTTTATAGTCCTCTTCCACCAATCCCAACTCTGCTACCCACACGCCGAGTACGCTGCTCTCCTCCAATCAGGAGCAGGATCAGCTCCTGCAGGTTACTGGTCGAACTGGAGGCAGCTGTGTAGAAGCTGTTTCCTCCTCTCTCAGCGCCATATTGTGGGAGAGCAGATGCATAGAATAAGTCTTAATTCGAGTAACTTAGTCTAGTCCGAGTTGCTCCCCACAGCTTTTTTCCCAGTTCAATATTGGAAAACATGAATTGAGGTGGGTGTTTGGCCTAACAGTTAAAACACCCATATCCCATATTGGAATGCCTAGGTTTGATATGTGGCTCTGCTCTTAACTCCAGCTTTTTATTAATGCAGACACCAGGAGGCAATGGTGATGGCTCAAGTAGTTACTGCCACCCAAATAGGAGATTAGTGTTACAACCCTGGCTCCAGATCAAAGTGTGGAAATTTGGAGTGGAGAACCAGCAGATAGGGACATGCTGTACTATCTCTATCTGATGTCCATCTGTCTATCATCTCTATCTCACTCTGTTATTTGTCTTTCTGGCTCACAAAAGAATAAATCTTTTTTAAGCTTAATTGAATAGGGCAATATTCTTGGAATGTGGGCTTCTAACATGAATATGATATAGTCACAGCTCCACAAACACCCAAAGTCTAACAGGGTAAACAGAGACTATTAATGCTAGACATTGTGCAGTGATAGAAAGGGTAGGTACCTAACCCAGCCTCTTCCAGGAGGAACTGAACCTTATTGAATCAATGAGTACAGACAGGCTAAGGAAAACATGAACTCAATCAGTGCATATTTTTGCAGCATGAGGTTGAAGGGTGGGTGAGAGTAACCTGGAAGAAAGCACTGAGCCCTATTAGAAGACTGGGCATTTAAGACAGCCTAGATTCCACAATGCTTTCAGAGGGCCAGTTACATAACTGCAGTGGTTATGGGAAAGAAATGCAAATTTGAGGAGTGCAAACTCAGGCCTAAAGGCATTCAAATTCAAGTGACATAAAAACACTGCACACAAATTAAGATATCCACAATGACAAAATCTTTAATTGCTTTGATCAGTGCAAAGGTTAAGCAAGACTGGAACATGGGGCATTTAAAACTGTACTGACACAATCAGACTTACATTTCAGATACCAGGTAGCTTTTATAAGTCTGGATTTTAAGGGGATAAAGCTAGAGATGAAGGAACCATTCAAGAAAGTATTATAGTAGTCCAACCATCAGAATGCAAGATGCACCAGGTATAGAAAAAAAGAATGGAAGGAGAGGACAGATCAAGAATCATTTAGGAAACAAAAAAGAAGTGTCCTTTTTAGTACAAAGTGGGTGTTAAAAACAAGAGGGAGGGGCTGGCGCTGTGGTGCAGTGGGTTAACGCCCTGGCTTCAAGGGCCAGAATCCCACATGAGCAATGGTTCTAGTGCCGGCTGCACCACTTCTGATCCAGCTCTCTGCTATGGCCTGGGAAAGCAGCAGAAGATAGCCCAAGTTCTTGGGCCCCTGCACTCGCACGGGAGACCCGGAAGAAGCTCCTGGCTCCTGGCTTCAGATCGGTGCAGCTCCAGCCATTATAGCCAGCTGGGAAGTAAACCAGCAGATGAAAGACCTCCCTCTCTCTCTGCCTTTCCTCTCTCTATGTAACTCTGACTTTCAAATGAATAAATAATTCTTAAAAAAAAAAAAAAAAAACAAGAGGGAACAGAGTTTAACACCAAGGTTTCCAGAAGGAGTGTGTCAATGGGATGACAGTACTACTAGTAAAATTGATAATAAAGGAAAATTAGCAAACAATAAGAAGATAGGATGATTCAGTTGCCCCAGACTCCACAATTGGAAAAACCTATCCACTTGCATTTGAAAGATTTTACTTGGAGTTTATCACTAGAGACATGGAGAACTGAACAAGCTTAACCGAGGTCTTAGCCCTGTGGTTAACACATGTGGTCTTCCCATAAGTGTCTTCAAAGTACCCCCTTCCTCCCAGAAAAGTGTTTGACAGACTCATTTATTAAGAAATTTAAAAGACAATAAAAGATAATGCATTGTGTTCTATACAAAGGAAGACAGAGAAAGACTTGCAATTCCACAGTTGGTTGTCCTAAGACCATATGGGAATATTGTTGAAAGCAAAATCTTCTCAGGGACACTGAAACAAAACTGAATCCAAAAACTTTATCCAGGGGTTGCACTCACCCCTCCTTCCCCAACTCTGTTTTTTGACATGGACCATTGACAAACTCTCAACCTATGTAAAGTGCTCCGTAACCACATCAGTTTTAAGGCTCTCCCCACCTGCTTGCCACCAATGAGCCTTTCCCTGGAGAAATTGTCAAGCCCTGCTATTTCCAGCCTATGGTCCATTTAAGTGATTTTATGAAACATCAAAATGTTGACTTTCATAATAAATATATAGCAAGTATATTCAGATATGGAAATAATTGATAGTCCTCCTCTCCAGTTCCTGAAAAATGCCATGAGTAAGCATAAATATAATTTATAATTTTACTTTGTACAAGTTACATACAGGAAAATATACAAATCTCAATAATACAATGGGTTTCAATAAGTGTATTTACCATGTAATCCTTGCCTCTGCCAAGGTATAGATTATAGATCATTTCTACAAGTTTACAAATTCTCTCAAACATCCTTGCGGTTGATTGTGTCACCCCTTCTCCTGACCTCATCAAATACTGATCTACTTTCTGTCAGCATAGATTTGCTTTGCCTCTTCTGATATTTCATACAAAAAGTCATACCACATGTACTCTTTTGTGTTCAACCTCTTCATCATGATATAATGTCTGTGTACAAGATTCAACTGAATTTTAGTGTATATCAATAGTTTATTACTCTAAGGTTAAGTGGCACCCAATTATATGTGTATATTATAAATTATTTATTCATCTGTTAATGGATACTTATGTTGTTTCCATTCTTGTTATTATTGTGGATAAGACTGCAATGAAGATTTTTTATAAGCCTACAAATAGATGTTTTCATTACTCTTGGGTAAATAACAACTAGTGAAACTGTAGATTATGAAGTGAAATTAGACCCCTTTGAAAGCAGAAAGCATTCACCCCAAATCGTTTATTTTATCAGATATCTACTGTTCACTCTCAACAAGAAGACCCAAATAAACCCTACTGGATTTTGAGGTTGGTCACTGAACACAATGAATTTGATTATTTTGAAGTGAAAAAAGATACAGAACGAGCAGATGAAATCCGAGCCATGAAGCAAGCCTGGGAATCAACTGAGCCAGGAAGAGCAATCAAGGTCATCCAACTCTGACAAGTTGTCACTTTTTACTTTTCATCCTTAGGCATGGTCTGAAAGAAGAGCCATGTTGGCAAAAACATATAATCTTTCAGTTAGGGATGGTATCTGGAATTTTATCAGACATTGATCAACTAAACTACATCTCAACACATTGTGAAATATTACCTTCTTGATACCAGGAGGAATTGCAAAAGCAAAGTACATAATGATGATACTTATAGGCCCGATTATGCACTACCTCTTGTCATATAGGCAGGACTATATCAACATCTGTTCTTAACACTGCCAAATAGGAAAGCATAAACCTGTGTAACAGATGCTTGCATATAATTTGAGCATCCTTAGATCTGCCTAGATAAAATGCATTAATTGCCACCTTACTGCCACAGTGAAGCATTCTGGCTTATCTAATTGTTCCACATCACAACTCAGTGTCATTGAAGCAGATGAAAAAGATCCAAGAACAGTAAGATAGCAGTTTTAATAGTTCTTCTTCATCCATTCATTCTCAATAATAACTGTCAAAATCATGAATGATTCACATTTTGAATTTCTTTGAAAATTAAGAAGAGCTACTCAGATTGAAACTGCCCCATTCAATTCACATTTTCCTGTTTCATTTGAGTATCATTAATATGTTATTGCCTGCATTGGCTATTGATTTTCAAAGAGCTTAAAAAACTAAGGGGTGGACATTTGCCTAGTAGCTAACATGCCTACCTTTGGTATCTGAATCCTTGGGTTCAATTCCCAGGCATTCTCTCTTTCGTCTTTATGTCTCTCCTGATCAATTATTTTTTTAAATGATAACCATTTCTTTAAATAAATAATTGGTAACTTTTGTCCTTTAGGCTGCTCAGGCTCGTTTGCACTACCTCAACCAGTTCTTTAAGAAAACACCTTATTCTGAGAGAGGGCCTACGACTGAGAGCCAAACTAAAGCTGCAGACGAAGGTCAGTGAGTCCTGCGCCACTGTCTCAGAGCACACAGCTGTCTCATGAACTTTTTTAAAAATACCCAGTGGGTCTTGCTAGGTTACAAGGAAACATTGCAGAATCTCTTCTCTTCAGGATTCTAGAAAGTTGCACAATTTCAGATAATCATATGACCAGTGCTTCAATGATCAAATCACTTTCATTTAGTTTCTTGTTAAATTCTGCATCTTCTTCTCCTAAGTAGGCATTTGTCCCATTTAAGAAAAGATGAAACAAGAGATAAGGGCATAACCTAGTTAGATGGTGCCATATTGAACCTGAATGCAGGATCACTACTGTGTGTTTGGCACTTTTCTAATAACAATAACAAGAAGATAATAGTACAGTTAACTGTGTTTAGGGAGCAATTGCTTTGAGCCTGGCACTAGGCCTTACATACTTTATTTTATTACATCAACCTATTGAAGTGTATGAGGTTACCTCAAAAAGTTTGTGGAAATAGGATTCAAAACTAAGTTCATTTTGGTGCAAAAATCTTTGAAATTCATGTATATGAAGGCTCTTCAAAAAGTTTGCAGGTCTTTTAATTACTCCCGTATTATGGCCTTTCATTCAAAGCAGACTATAACATGAGTTAGCTCATCTGTGACTGATAAATAACAGAATACTATCTACATAGGTGGACATCATGGTAGGTTATGTACTTTTCCTAGGGATCTGGAAGTGGGAGTAGAATTACAAAGTTAAAGAAAAACCTCCTCTCTTTATGACTTCATATGCAAGAGCCCTTTTTGTCAATATTTTGGGGCAATTTTAAATAAGGGCCTACACACTGATCCCCCTCCCTAGAGAGGAGTTCCCCATCTATGCACAGTTCTCGGCACAGGCCTGTGGCACATCCTCCAAGGCCCATCTTAACAACCATTCTCACAGTTCAAAGATCCCATTTCCATCTAGGTTATCGCAACTCAAAAAGCCTCCATGTATATTGTGAATGTTTGCTATCCTGAGGCAGCTTCCAGAAGCATTGTCTGCCTGGGCCATCCCTGTCATCTTTGAAGGTACCAGTGATTGCTCTCACTAGTGCTCTGATTAGAAGTCGCCAGACTTTCAAGTCATCTGCTCCAGACCTGTGTGCCCATAAGCAAGCCCTGTTATTGTTTGCACCTGTCTTTGCCAAACACAGGCTTTTCCACTAATATAAATGTTATGCTGTAGGAGAGACACCTTTAGGTAGTATGTAAGAGTCAGTTGCAAAGAGTCCTCTTTCAGACACCAAAGGAATGTCGCCAACAGGAGAAGGAAGTTTGCTGTGGAAGAAGTGGCAGATGAGCAAGGGCTTGAAGGATCTCACAAAATCCATAAACAACGAGAGTGCAGGAACATCCTCAACCCCATCTGGGAAGGAAGAGCGCGAACAGATCAGGAAGAAGGAGAATGTCAGTAAGTGCTGCTCTCACTGGGGAGGTGCAACGGTTTTGGAAAAAAAAGTTCTGGAAAAGATCAACACAAACATGTGATGGCTGGGGCAAGAAAAATAGAAAAAAATCTGTATTTTTGATTCATAGGTCTTCATTTTTCCTATCAGAATAATTTCCTTGAGAATCTGATACATGCTTAACCTAAAGATAAATGAGACAAACAAATGAGCAGGTGTCCATGTACACACTTTCTGTGTCAACAATTACTAAAAATAAAATGTTAGTGTTCACATAGACACCTACAGTCATCATTGTATGTAGATCCATTTTGTTTTATTCATAGCACACAACAAGATGGAATTTCTTCTTACTGTTTACAACAAATTTTAAGTATTCAGTTTCTAAAATGTTGGAATTTTCAGTGGTGCACAGGCCACACTGACTTGTTTATTTCTGAATGGATTTGTATTTGTTCATTAAAATGAAACAAAATCCGTGATAAAAGTGTTAAAGGGAAATGCTTTTCCACACGTTTAGAGTCCATGATGAAGAATCCTTCATAAGCAGCGCCCAGGCTCTTTCTATCCCAAAGGGACTAAATGTCTTTCTGAAAAAAGAAAAATATATATTTATCTATTTTCATTTTTTAAAAGGCAAAGAGAAAGAGAGAAACTCAGAGATAGAGACCGATCATCCATCCACTATTTCACTCCTCAAATGCTCCCAAGCAGCCATGGCTAGGCCAGACCTACACCAGAAGCCCAAAACTCCATCCACTTCTCCCATGTGCATGACAGGGACTCAAGTACTTGAGCCATCTGCTGCCTCCTGAGGTGCACATTAGCAGGAAGCTGGATGGAAGGTAGAAGACATAAGACCCAAACAAGGCACTCTAATATGGGCTGCAAGTGTCGCAAGCAGGAATTTAAGCCCATGCGCCAAATTCCACCCTTAAGTTTCTTACTTGACTGATATATTTGGAAACAACAACTGAGCCTCCCATGGGGACGCAAGTCCATTTGGTTTCTCCCAGAGAGCATCACCCATGACTGAGCTGGAGGAGTCAGCCACCTCTCTTGCTCTGACCATGGTCCACTTGCTTCTCAAATCTAATTACAGTCTGATTAAATCTATGTAAAAGTGGCTTAAGCACCGCTGTGACTCTGGCATCCCATATGAGAGTGCTGTTCCAAGTCCCATCTGCTCTGCTTCCAAATCAGCTTCCTGCTAATGTGCCTGGGAAGGAAGTGGATGATGACCTAAATACTTGAGCCCTTCCATTCATATGAGAGACCAGGATGGCATTCCTGGCTCTTGTTTTTAGACTGGTTTAGACCTGGCAGTTGGAGCCAACTGGGGAAGTTAAGCAGTAGATGGAAGATCTCTCTCTCTCTCTCTCTAGCATTTTGCCTCTCGAACAATTAAATTAGTAAATCTTTTTTTTAAATGTCAAGTATGGAATATCTTAGTTTCTCTACTTGTTCAGAACCTAGGCTGGAGTACACATTTTAGAAGGAAACATCCTCAGAAACATCAACAATGGTTCTCTTCCCCAAATTGCTAAATTAATCTGTGAATTTCAAAATTAAAAAGTATGTAAAGCAAAAGCATAGACTTGAAAACTACAATAAAGATTTATTTATTTACTAGAAAGTCAGAGTTACAGAGATAGAAATAGAGACAGAGAGAGAGATCATCCATCCATGGCTTCACTCCCCAATGTCTGCCATACCCAGGGCTAGGCCAAGTAGAAACGATCAGCCAGGAGTTTCAATCAGGTTTCTAATGGGGATAGAGGAGTCATCTTCCACTGCTTTCTCAGCCACATTAGTGAAGAACTGGGACTATGAGTGGAGCAACAGGGACTGAAACTATAGCCCATATGGAATGCCAGCATCACAGCCAGGGGCTTAACGAGCTACATCACAATGCCAGACTAAAACAAAAACATAAAAAAGATCAAGTGAAAGAAGAGCTGTTTTTTTTTTTTTGAACAAATGAACAAAATCGATGCACCAGTGGCCCAAAAAACCAAAACAAGGTAGTAGGGTAGACCCAAATTAAGCAAATCAGGTGAAAAAGGAAATGTTACAATGGTTACCACAGAAATAAAAATAATATTCAGGAATTAGATCAAATAACTATATGTGAACAAATTCATAAATCTGGAAGAAATGTATAGATTTCTGGACATTTGCAATTTAACAAAATTGAGACATGAAGACATAGAAAACATAAAAAGACCAATAACTAAGATGGAGATTGAAGCAGTAATAAAGACATAACCAAAAGAAAAGTCCAGGAACAGATGGCTTCATTGCTGAATTCTACCAAACTTTTTTTTTTATTTGACAGGTAGAGTTATAGACAGTGAGAGAGAGAGAGAGACAGAGAGAAAGGTCTTCCTTCCCTTGGTTCACCCCCCAAATGGCCACCACAGCTGGCACTGTGCCAATCTGAAGCCAGGAGCCAGGTGCTTCCTCCTGGTCTCCCATGTGGGTGCAGGGGCCCAAGCACTTGGGCCATCCTCCACTGCCTCCTGGGCCACAGAAGAGAGCTGGAGTGGAAGAGGAGCAACTGGCACTAGAACCGGTGCCCATATGGGATGCTGGTGCCACAGGCAGAGGATTAAGCAAGTGAGCCATGGTGCCGGCCCCAAAATTCTACCAAACTTTTAAAAGAAGGACTAATGTCAATTTTTCTTTAACAATTCATAACAATGGAAAGGGAGGGGTTCCTACCAAACTCCTGTGAAACCAGCATTAACTTAATTCCAAAATCAGAAAAAGGTACAATCAAGAAGGAGAAATATAGACCAATACCTCTGATGAACATTGATGCAAGAACCCTTAACAAATTACTAGCTAATCAAATCTAACAACATATCAAAATGATTATCCCTCCCCAGAACAAGTGGGATTTGTCCCAGGATGGTTCAACATATGCAAATCAATATACTTCTGGAAATATTACCCAGAACAATTAGGCAAGAGAAATAAATCAAAGAGATACAGATTGGAACGGGGGAAGTCAAAGTACCCTGTTTGTGGATGACGTGATCATTTATATAAGGGATCCAGATGACTCCACTTAGAGACTATTGAATTTATAAGATATTGGTAAAGTAGAAGATAATAAAATCAGCACAGAAAAATCAATAGCGTTTGAATACACCAACAATGTTATGGCTGAGAAAAAAACTTGTAAAATCAGTACCATTCACAATAGCAAAATAAATAAATAAATAAAATGGGATAAATTTAACTGAGGATATGGATGATCTTTACAATGAAATTTATAAAATATATATAGAAGAAAACTCAAGAAAACGAAAGACTCTTCCATGCTTATGGATTGGAAGAATTAATATCATCCAAACGTCTGTACCACCCAAAGCTATTTACAGATTCATTGTAGTACCAATTCAAATACCAAGCATGTTCTTCTCAGACCTAGAGAAATGGTTCAGAAATTCATATGGAAGCAAAAGAGACCTGAGATAGCTAAAACTATGTTACTGAACGAAAACAAAACCAAAGGCATCACAATACCAGATTTTAAGACATACTACAAAGTAGTTATAATTGAAACAGCCTGGTCCTGGCACAAATATAGACATATGGCCCAGTGGAACAGAATAGAAATCCCAGATACCAACCCACACTTCTACAACCAACTAAGGATCTAAAATCACTCCCTGGAAAAAGAAGTCTCTTCAACAAATCATATTAGGAAAATTTGATTTCCACTTGCAAACATATGAAACAAAACCCTTATCTTACACCCTATACAAATAGCAACTCTCAGGACATAAAACATACTAGAGGAAAACAAATTATGAGAGGAAATTTTAGGGGAAGCAGTGCAAGATATTGGCATATCAAAGACCTCCTAGATAAGACCCTGGAAGCAAAGGCAATAGAAGCAAAGATAGACAAATAGGATTATACCAAGTTAAAAAGCTTCTGAACAGCAAAGGAAACATTCAACAAAGTGGAGAGGCAACTGATGGAATGGGAGAAAATATTTGCAATCTATGCATCTGATAAAGGATTAAATCCAGGATATATAAGCAGTTCAAGAAACTCAACAACAATAAAACAAGCAATCCAGTTAAGAAATGGGCAAAAGACATTAACATGCATTTTTCAAAGCATGAAATACAAATGGCCCAACAGATATGTGAAAAACTGCTTTGGATCACTAGCCATCAGGGAAATGGAAATAAAAACCACAATAATATAATATATATCATAATGCATATTATATATAATAATAACCTCTGCTCAGTTAGCATGTATATATACAAAGATAAAAAATTCCAAGTACCAATAAGGATGTGGGGAAAAAGTAACCTAATATGCTGCTGGTAGGAAAGTAAACTAGTACAACTATTGTGGAGTATGGTCTGGAGGTTCCTAAAAAATCTACATTAAGATCTACAGATATCAATGAACAATTAAAATGAAATTTACAGGACAATTTTTATTACAATATCATCAGTAATAAGTGTTTAGAGGGGATGGCACTGTGGTAAAGCAGGTAAAGCCACTGCATGCGATGTCAAATCAAAATTCTAGCAGCTATTTTATGGAATTTGAAAAGCTGACACCAAAATTTATATGGAAATGCAAAGGACCCAGAATGGTCAAAATAATTTTAAAAAAAGAAAAACCAAGTGTGAGAAGAATATGCTCAACTTGATTAGGAGTAGCTATCAGCACTGTATGAGTAACATACTTAACCATGAGGAACTAGAGACATTTCCAGTAAGACAGGAAGAAGGCAAGTGTGTTCCCTCTCTTCATTCAGTATCATACTCAAAATCTCATCTAACGCAGTAAGGTAAAAATGAGTTAAGGGTAAACCAATTAATAAAGAAACAATAAAACTCTATGGAGGAAATCTGAAAAAATCCTGCTAGAACTAGTAACTGATTATAACGAAGGTTGCAGGCTATGACGTTAATATACAAGACAAAATCATTTCCTATATACAAATAATGTATAAATGGAAACTTAAAGTTAAAAACACTACTATTTGCTTTAGTACCATCAAAAATAAAATACGTAAGTAAAATCTAACAAAGATATATATATATATATATATAGATAGATATATAGATATATAAATAAATTAGGAAAACTGCAAAACTATAATTAAAAAAGAATTAAATAAATGGAGAGATACTGTATGGTCATAGTTCAGAAAACTATTGTCAGGCCAGTGCTGTGGTGCAGCAGGTTAAATCCCTGGACTGAAGCACCGGCATCCCATATGGACACCAGTTCTAATCCCGGCTGTTCCTCTTCTGATCCAGCTCTCTGCTATGGCCTGGGAAAGCAGTACAAGATGGCCCAAGTCCTTGGACCCCTGCATCCGTGTGGGAGACCCAGAAGAAGCTCCTGGCTTCTGGCTTCAAATTACCTCAGCTTCCACCTTTGCGGTCATCTAGGGAATGAACCAGCAGATGAAGGACCTCTCTCTCTGTCTCTGCCTCTCTCTGTAACTCTGTCTTTCAAAAAAATGAAATAAATCTTAAAAAAAAAATAACCACAACAGAGGGCTGTTGTCAAATTGACGGTTCTTCCCAAGTTGATCTGTAGATTCAATGCAATCTAAAGTTTGTAGGGGAAGACAAAAGACTCACTATAGCCAACACGATACTGAAGGAGAAGACCAATGTTAGGGGACTTACGCTACCCTTCTTAAACCTTCTTTAAAGGTACAATAATTAAGATAACAAGACATGGACAAAAGAAAAAAAGATAAATCAATGGAATGGAATAGAAAGACCAGAAATAGAGGCAATTAAATACATGAACTCTTTTTGTGTTTTTTGTTTTGTTTTGTTTTGTTTTGTTTGTTTCTTTGTTTTTTTTACAAAGGAGCAAGGACAATGTAGAAAACAGAAACTTGTCATCAAATGATGATGGAACAACTGAACATCCCATGCAAAATAATGAATCTACATACAGACCTTACAACCCTTACAAAATAAAGTGGATCACAAACCTAAGTGTGAAAGGAGAAACTTTAAAACGCTATAACATAAGAGAGCATATAGATGACCTTGATTCGGGTAATGATTTTTTTAGATAAAACACCAAAGAAAATTGACAAATCTATTTAAAAAATTAATAAGCTGTACTTAACATTAAAACTAAAGATTTCTGCTCCATGAGAGACATGCTTAAGAAAATAAAAAGATAAGACACAGAGTGGGAGAAAATATTTTCAAAAGACATGTCTAATAAAAGAGTGCTTTACAAAGTGCACAAAGAACATTTAAAAGTGAAAGATAACAAAACAAATAACCCAACTGAAAAATCTTAACAAAGGCCTTAACAGACATCACAAATCAAATTATGTGGACTGCAAAAAAGCACATGAAAAATGCTTTGTATCTTAAGTCATCAGAGAAATAAGGATTAAAATAAGATACCATTACACGCCTCTTAGAAGGGCCAAAACCCAAAAGCTGACTACATCAAGTTCTGACAAGGATGAGGAACAACAGGAACTCTCATACAGTACAGGTGGTTTAAAAAAAAATGTACAGCCACTTTGGAAGACAGTTTGGTGGTTTCTTACAAAGTTAAACATTCTGTTGTTTACCATATGATCTATCCAGCAGGCACAATCATTTGTATAGACTCAAAGGAGTGAAAATATAGTCACACAAAAACCTACCCACAGGCGTTTATTACAGCTTTATTCATGATGGATAAACTGTGTTACATAGGCAATGGAGTAATACTCAGTACTATGAAGAAGTGAGCTATCGAGCTCTGAAAATACATGGAAAAATTAAACTGACTGCTAGCAAGTGAAAGAAGCCAATGAGAAAAAGGCTACCTACTGTGCAATTGGAATTATGTGATGTCTGGGAAGAGGCAAAAGTATAGAATGGTTCCAATGCTGTGGCATAGCAGGTAGTAGTGCCGGCATCCCATATGGGTGCTGATTCAAGTACCAGCTGCTCCACTTCCAATCCAGTGGGAGATGTCGATGAAGCTCCTGGCTTCAGTGTGGCCCAGCCCTGACCATTGTGGCTGTTTGGAGAGTGAACCAGAGATGGAAGATCTTTAGATATCTCTCTTTCTCTCTCTCTCTCTCTCTCTGCCTCTTTCCTTCTCTGTAACTCTGACTTTCAAATAAATAAATAAATCTTAAAAAAAAAAAAATAGTGCTTGCCAGAAGTAGGAGGGAGCAAAGGAAAAATAGATAGGGCTCAGAAGCTTTGGGTGGGCAGTGAAATTACTCTGCATGAGAACCTAATGATGGATATATGTCACTATATAATTGTCTGAACATAGAATGTACAACACTGAGAGTTACAGACCCTGAGATACAAAGAAGTGTCAATGTAGATTCACCAATTATAATAAATGTACACACTTGCAGGGAAATATTGATAATGGGGAAGTCCATGTATGTGTGTGAGGATGGGGTATGTGGAATATCTTTGTATCTTCCCTACAATTTTGTTGTGAACTGAAAACTATTCTTAAAGTTGGTTAGGGTCAGGCATTTGTCCTACTGGTAAGATGCCACTTGGGACATGCAATTTACATATGAAACTACCAGGATTCATGTTCCAGCTCTATACTCTATTCCAGCCTCCTGCTAATTCACACTCTGGGAGGCAGCCATGATGGCTCAATTAGTTGAGTCCCTGCCATCTTGGATTGAGTTCCTGGCTTTTTTCCATACTTGGCTCAATCCTAGCCATTACGAGTATTTGGGAGTGAACTAGCTGTATGTGCATGTGTCTACCCCTGCACCTAAAATGGATGAATGAATGAATGAACAAATAATTTAAAATATACTCTTTTAAAAAAAGAACCAAGTTGGAGGATTTCTATTTCCTGATTTCAAATTTTATTATGAAGTTAATAATAATCAAAACACTACGATTTGGCAATTTCTTAGAAAGTTAAACATAGTTTTACCATATGAGTTAGAAGTACAGTATTATTTACATGAAATGTCTAGGAAAATCAAATCAATGGACGCCTAAATACAATGATGGTTTCCTGGAGCTGTGTTCACACAACTTGTTAAATGCAATAAAATGCATTTAAAATGCATTGAGTTGCATCCTTTAAATGGGCAGGCTTTATGATATATAAATTATGCTCAATGAGTTATAAAACTCAAACGGTCAGGCCAAAAAAAAAAAAAAAAACTCAAATGGTCAGGCAAAGGTTGAAAGATTAATTTCCTAAACTTAAAAGTATGTTTCTTAAATCTGTTCTTGTGGCCTCATTTTGGGCTATACGGCATAAAAACTGTCAGCTGATTTGATGTTCGGCATTTGCCTGTATACATTGCCCATTCCCCTTTCCACAAGGTTCTTTGGGATAGGATATTCTCTCTAAAACATATTTATATCCCAGTCTTCAAATGCTACATGTATAGCCCAAGGTTTTGAAATGTTTGGTCACTAAATTTGTTTATATGAAGTTTTATAACTGTACATATTTAGAATAATATTTGTTATACTTCTAACAGAGTATAGTAACTGTGTTATCTCTTTAACTAACTACAGGTATGCTAACACCAAGTAGAGGAGAAACATGAAATATAATTGATAATTATATATTTAATAAAATTAAAGCAAGCCAAATCAATAGTTATTTGTTTAATTTGTGATTATTAAATGTGCTTATTTATTTAATTATTTTGTCATTTTTGATAACTTTTTGAAAGTCTGGATCTCTTTTATTAAACAGGACCTAGCTCACGATCTCCAGCAGTTCTGGAAATGTCTCCTCAGCATATTCGAAAAGCACTAGAATTTGTAGACATAAATCAATATGTACGGTAAGTTGTAATTTTAAATAAGACTGATACAGCCAAATGTGTTTATAAGACTCGGGACACATTGCCAATAACAGTTGCTAAACAGCTGAAAATTTGAGATTAAATTCTTAATATATCTTCAGTGTGTCTAAACTTTTTGAAATGTATGATTTTATATCTCAAATTTTGCAAATATTTTATTAAATCAATCACTTAAGTCATTTAATTTTTTTGTAAAGATTTAATTTGAAGTCTTATTAAGGTAAGGTGAACTTCTGAAAATTCCTATCATACCTGCTGTCATTATTACATTAGATTCCATTTTCCCAAGAATTAGACACTAGGATTAAGCAAGATAATTATTCAAATGTATTTGTAAACTTGAAAACATTATCAAAATTATTTAGTAGCATAAATTCAAAAGGAAAACCCACTAATATCAGAGTTTTCAACATCAATTCCACAATATCCTCAACAAGTGATATATCTAAATTTCTGAATATTTTCAAAGTGTTTCTGTAAAATTTTAGTGACTCAATAGATAGAGCATAGCCCATTTAAAGAGAAATGGTTCATTATTTCCCACCTGCTCCACTTCTGATCCATCTCCTGAAAAAACAGAGGAAGATGGCTCAAATATTTGGTCCCCTTGCACCCAAGTGGGAGACCCTAAAATTCATTGCATAGTTCCCAAATTATTTATGTATCTCTCTTGATGATTTTATATCCAGGAAGACAAATGAAGAGCCTGTGCTGCAAACAGAAGAACTGAATCAGCAACAGGCCATGCAAAAGGCAGAAGAAATTCACCAGTTTCGACAGCATAGGAGAAGAATCCTTAGCATTAGAGATATTGGCCAAGAAGAACGGTTCAAGCTGAAAGATGAAATTCTGGATATGTATGGGGAAATGCGGGTGAGTTTAAAAGTACATAGCTTGGTCTCAGTTGACAAAATCTTTTGTAATATTAAGAGAGAATCATAGACCCATATTGCATCTGGATAGGAAAAAAGTCCTGAAAACATTTGGTTCTACAATTCTCAGTTTCTCAGAAAAAGAAAAGTCAAATTGATTATATACATCTCACGGTACTCCCAAAAATTTCTCTTAATGCACAATATTGGGTGTCCCTGTTCAAAGATGGAAAGAGTTGGAGAGAAAGCAGCAACAAAATGAGTTGTGAAGCTGGAAAATAACTGAACAAAGACCACATTAACAGACTTGAGACAGTCAAATCCCAGCCTAGCAGTGGGAAAATTCTCAGGAATAAACTCAAACTTCTTTACAGAATCTACAGAAGATCTCAAAAGCTCAGCAGTCATTGGCATCAGGTATGTTGGGAAGTCAAAGAGAAATGAGAGAAAAATAAGATAGCTTTGCTTGGTAAAGCTCTTTAATAATTATAGCTTACTCCCTCAAGTATTCACCACTTGATGACTGTCATATCACTACCCCAGCAGAAGAATACAGATATTTTATTTAGGCCAGGTAGAAGAAATGGGGGATGGAGTGAGAGAAAGAAGAAAAGAAAAAAATTATTGTGTACCACGGAATACTAGGCTTAATTGAAGGTGGGAGTATCATACTAGAAAAGAAGAAATTTCATTAGAATATAAGGAAGACTTCCTACTATGGAGGAAGAAGATCTGTTTTTCTCCATTTTCCCAATACAATGCACACACTCCTAGAGACTGTATACCACAGAACTTTCTAAACTTTTTCGGCACAGTGATATTGATTCTTTGTATCACTTCCAATATTGGTTCATAGGAAGAACATGCCAATGTGACACCCTTCTTGTTTGTCCAAGAAGCTCCTCAAATGGAACCTCTCCAAATCCACCCTATAGAAAGCTTTCCTTCCTTCCCATTTCAGCACCAACATGTAACCCCACCCCACCCCCAGATATTCTCCACCCCAGGGGATGGCAATTGCTCTATTTCAGTTGCTCGGAGCAGAAACTTTGAAGACACCCTTGGCTTCTCCCATTCCTCACGTGTAATCCATTCTCAAAACTTCTCTACTCTTCCTTGAAACATATGCAAAGTCCAATGACGTCACACTGTCTATAGCCCCATCACTCCAGGCCGACCTGTCATTGTTCTCCAGGGCACTGCCGCCGACTCCTGACTGATTTCATTGCTTCCATGTTGCCTCACAACAGTGTGGTCTCTGCTCAACAGCCAAAATAGCTTGTATCAATAAGGATAAACTATGCTTTCCTTGGGAACAAAACCCACAGTGCCATAGTACCTCACCCACAGGGTTCGATAAACTCACTTTCTGGATGGCCCAGAGACAGCGTTTGTTCTTGCAGGCCATGTATTGCAGTTATTCAACTCATTACTAACATAGCATCAAAGCAAATACTTAACTGAATGGGATAATACTTAAATTTCAAAAATTATTGAGAAAAAATAAGGAATAATCCAGATTTGTTCCATAAGCCTTAGTTTATCAATTGGTGACTTAAAACAATGAAAGATCATTTCCCATTCTAGCTACGTGTCCAACATGGTTTCATAGGGTTCCTTCTTCTCGTGCCCATTAAGATTACTCAGGTTGGAAGAGGTTTCCATACAGAAACTTCCACCATGATTATTATGGCAGGGGAAGAGAACATGGAGAATTTCACATTGACCAATACTGTTTCAGACCATGAATGGAAATTCTTCCCACTCAAATTTTATTGGCTAAAGCAAGCCTTGTGGTCACATACAACTTCAAAGAAAGAACCAACTTTGATGACACCTTGATTTTGAACTTCTGTCATCAAGAACTGGTAGACAGTAAGTTTCTGACATTTAAGGCACCTGGATTGAGGTATCTTAATATTGCAGCCATATCAAACTAATCTAGGGAGAGATGCTACCATGGAACCATAAAAGAATAGGAATTATATTATGAATGGCAATAGTGTGTATAATAATACATGTTTAAAGTGAAGGAGGGGATCATTTTCCTTCTCTGTTGGCTTTTTCACTAAGAAAAATTCCAGGGCCAGTGTTGCAGTTTAGCAGGTTAAGCTGCCAGCTGCAGCGCCATCTTCCCAGATTGGTGTCAGTTCCAGTTGCAGCTGCTCCACTCAAACCCAGCTCCCTGCTGATCCCTTAGAAAAGAGTGGAGGATGGCCACTCTTTGGGCCCCTGCACTCACATGGGAGACCAGGGTAAAGCTCCTGGCCCAGCTCAAGCCATTGCGGCCATTTGGAGTGTGAACCAGAAGATGAAAGATCTCCCCCACCCTGTAACTCTGCCTTTCAAATAAAAATCAATAAATGTTTAAACAAAGAGAAAAAAAAGAAAAAAATCTTGATTATGACCTCAAGAGCCCAAAATAATCCAGTAATCACTCTCCTCTCTGATATCTTTGTCCATTTTTCTGTCTCTTTTGCTCTTGTCAAACTGACTTCACCATTCCACTCACAGCCAGGCATGTTCCTGTCTCTGTCCATTTACCTTGACTCTGCCTCTTCCTAGAATTTCCTTCTCCAGAAGAAATTTTCCACATATCATCACTTCACTAGAGATATCAAGCCCTTTATGACTTCATCCCCCGTATGACTACATCTGGACTTACTTTTATTAAGAAACTCCTATCTTTTATACCTTTGTTGGCTTAACATGAACATTTAAGTACAGTCTATGTACTAATGTGCATGCATTTTAAATCTATCTCTACTAGAATATAGACCATCTGTGAGCAAGGATTTGTTTCAATTCACTGTTGTGCCTCCAGAACCTGGGACAGATGTCTAATTCACAAGTTTGTTTAATAAGTGAATATGTAAAATAATTAACAAATACTAAAATTGCATAGATTCATTGTATCATATAGGAAATAATTTTAATTAAATTGTAAGACAAAAGGAAATTTCAAGATTGCAATTCATGTTGTCTGTGCGTACAACAAATGCAATAGAAGGAGAGAAGAGGATGAAAAAATATTAGCTGCAACAGTATGAATTCAGATCCTGTTCATTTCAATGTGATCAACATCCTAATTAGGATTGAAGCCATTTAAAGATTAACATCATCAGTAAGGTTTCTTACCAGACGGAAGAAAGCATACCAATTCCTCAAGGGATTACTGACATATATTGAAAAGTTACTTTGCACAATGACAAGATCTCTCTCTGTGTGTGTCTCTTTCTCTCTCTCTCTGTCTCTCTCTCTGTCTCACTGGTATCATCTTGTACTTGTGCAATGGGCTTACTGATAGATGCAGTACTTTGTTTCATCAAATCTTTGGCAAATCTGATTCTGACATCCAGCTGTTCTGATATCTTAACCCAAACCACTACAGTTGCAAAAACATGGTAAATTTCTTAAACTTCTTGGGAAATATGAGGATGAAGACAAAGCAAGCATTTCTAGAAGGTTTTCTTTATGTTATAATTAATTCATGATTCCTTGTTCTTTGATTATATAATATTATGATGTGATCACCTTCACATCGGTATAATGGATGAAAGAGAAATCAGCAGAACTTACTGAAAAGGAGCAGCTGGTGAGATAAAAAGCGTGGAGTCCCTGGGATGTCCAGGAAGCCAAGAGAAGTGAGCTGAACCAGGAGAAGGGAGTGTGGTGAAGGAAGAATAGGACCAAGAAATTATCAGGCCATTAGATTCTCTGATGTATGCGTTTCATTTGTGTTTTGGAGTGGTTAAGAAAGTGGTAAGATAAACAATGGATTAGATGATGTTATTTGGCGCTCTTCAGGCTTAGCTCAGATATATTTTAAGAGAGTTGAAAGACCTGTGAGGAACTGGTAACTTAGTATTAAACACAGTTACTGCATGAGAGACACTGAGCTAATTATTTTATGTATTGCATGTGATAAATCCTTTGCCAAAAATCTCCACCTATTATTTATTGACTCTCGCTTTATTTTTCTCCTACCAATGCTTGTATTGACCATTCTGTGTTACAATTGCACATACTGTTTATGGCTATCCCATGTTTGGTGTATTTGTAAGCATTTGAATACATACACTGATTTTGAATTTCAATAATTTGCCACATACATCTACTGGTATAAGGAAAGGATAAAGGGATTTCATTTTTTTCCCCTATGACTATAAACCTTTATCAGTGGAACTTATTTGCTTGGTTTTTTTTGTTTTGTTTTTTGTTTTTTTTTTGTTTTGTTTTGTTTTGTTTTGTTTTTGGAACAGGACTCCTTGGATGAAGCTCGACAGAAGGTCTTGAATATCCGGGAAGAATACAGAAACAAATTGGTGGAAGCTGAACGCCTAAGATTGGAGGCTCTGGCTGCTCAGGAAGCCACGATGAAGGCAGAGACAGAAAAGAGGGTTCCAGCTGCTGACACACAGAAAAAAAAGAAAGGGAAGAAAAAGTAACATGGAGGTGCCCAAGACTACCCTTCTTCTGCAGGGGAAAAAACTATTGTAATGATCATAACTTTGTTGATGACATCTTAGTACAAAGGAAAATAAAAGTTTGGCTATCTTAGAAATCATTTCTATATTTTTTATGTTAACTTGGTAGTTTGCCTCAAGTATTTGAAAGCATTAGAGCTGAAAATGTTTTGATTTCAACAAAATTACTTCCAAATATTTAGAATATAAAAATCTGTGTGTTGCACTCTGGATTGCCTGCATTTTTAATGCTTAGTCAAACCAGATCCTGAAAGTCATGGTGCAGTGCTCAACATGGAAGTTAAGTTATGGCTTGGGATCCCTGCACGCCACATCGCACGCGCTGGGTTTGTGTCCACTTCAGATTCCAGCTTCTGCGCTGATCCACACACTGGGAGGCACCAAGTGACGACTCAAGTAGTTTGGGCCCTACAACGCAGGTGGGAAACCTGAAGTGAGCTCACGGCTCCTGGCTTTGACCTGACAGAGCCCTGGCTGTTATTTATAGGCAGTTGGGGATTTGAGGAGTCAGCCAGCAGATGGGAGATTTCTGTCGCTTTCCCTCTCTCTCTCTCTCTCTTTCCCTCTCTCTCTTTCTCTCTGTCTTTCTCTTTCTCTCTCTCTCTCTCTTTCTCCCTCTCTCTCCTTTCCAAATTTATAAATAAAATTAATGTTTTTAAGTGATTCAAAAGTATTGCTTTTGAAAAATTCAGTGAGAAAACAATAGATACCTTACTTAGAAGAAATTTTGCCTCCAGCTTTAAAGGTTTAAAGATATTAATGAATACACTTTATAGTTGTGACTTTTTTAAAAAAATAAAAATAGTTGACCTTCAATAAACCTCCCACACTGGGCAAGAGCTACTCTGGTTCAAGCCACTGAAAGTGCAAGGAATCTGAAGCCTAACAATTAGCCATGGCAACCCAGAAATAGAGAATGTGATCTCAATGTAATCTCAAACATATCCTTTTCACACCTACCAGGATCATAATTTTTTTGTGTGAGACAGAGAACAAGTTCTTAAATACCAGTTTTAGAAAAATGTAATAAGTGGAGAAAGGCAAATAGCAGAAAATTGACTCTTCAAAAGCACACTTCCAATTCGTCGCTGTCTTCAGAGAGAACTGCCACATACTTTTTAACCAAAGTTGCTTCACTTTGACAGGTGATTTTTGTTTGTTTTTCTTTCTGATATATCTTCTAAGAGGTTAATGTCCAAAATATATGAGGAGGCCGGTACCGCGGCTCACTTGGCTAATCCTCTGCCTGCAGCGCCGGCACCCCGGGTTCTAGTCCTGGTTGGGGAGCCGGATTCTGTCCCGGTTGTTCCTCTTCCAGTCCAGCTCTTTGCTGTGGCCCGAAAGTGCAGTGGAAGATGGCCCAGGTCCTTGGGCCCTGCACCCACATGGGAGACCAGGTTGGAAGCACCTGGCTCCTGGCTTCGGATCCGTGCAGTGCGCTGGCCACAACACGCCAGTCGCAGCAGCCACTTAGGGGGTGAACCAATGGAAAAAGGAAGACCTTTCTCTCTGTCTAACTCTGCCTGTCAAATATATATATATATATATATATATATATATATATGAGGAATAACACAACTTAATAGTGAAAAAATTAAAATAGCCCAATTAAAAAATAGGCAAAGGATGTGAGGTTTTTTTCTAAAGAAGACATGCAAATGGTTGACAATTATAAGAAATGAGGCCAAATATCACTCACCATTAGAAAACACAAATCAAAACAACAATGAACTATCACATCACACTTGTTAGTACACTTATTATCAAAAAGACAGGGAATAGCAAATATTGGTGAGGGTATAAGAAAAAGGTAACTTTTACATTGATGAGAATGTAAATTTATACCATCATTATAGAAAACAGTATGGAAGTGGCTCAAAAATTTAGCAAAAGAACCACCATGTGATCCAGCAACCTACCCCTCCTGGGTATTTAGCCAAAGGAAATGAAATGAGGATCTAAGAGATATCCGCAACTTCATGTTCATAGAAGTAATATTCAATATAAAGAAATGGAAATGGCTGAAGTGTCCATCGAAAAAGGATGGATAAAGGAAATGCCATAACAAAAAAGAAGGAAGGACCCGTGACCCTCATCTGAAATTCTCTCTTTGCTTTCTTCTTCTAACAGCGTTTTCTGACTTGGAAGCTTGCTCTTCTGGACAGTTTAGAGAGGTCTAAACGGAATTACATGGCAGAGATGGCGAGGCCAAGGCAACTTCGGCTGGCTGACAAGGTCACAGCGGAAGGTCTGTCTCAGCAAGGCATGAGAAAGACAGCTGCGGTCCTCCTGGTGGTTTTAGGTTTGTTGGGAACTACACTCTGCTTAAGAAAGCTGGAGCTTCCTGGTGGTCCCACTAATGACTGCTGTATTCCTAATTTTAGGGAAGAACGCTTAGTCTCATTATCCCCAAAATGTCCATTGCTTTGTAGAATTTTAATCAAGCAGAATGTTAGTGTAGGAGAAAGGATTGTTGCTTTACGCAAGGTTGAGCTGTTTGTGGAAAAGAAAAGGCCACGGGCTCCCTGGTATATACCTCCCACTGGAATAAAGCCAAATGTTATTAAAGCTTGAATTCAATATATGCTACAAATACTACAGTGGTTAGGATGTCAAAACTGTGGAATAGATCTATGTGAACATTAAATAAGTACAATAAAGAAATTAGAGTTATAGAAAAAAACTTCAAAGCAGGGATACGTTTTAAAAAGGGCCTGCTTTGAACTTGGGGCTTCTAGTAAAGATTAGATTAGGAAGGTACTATTTTGCTTGTGTAGCCAATTTCTACATAGTTCAGCAGCACTCGAGGCCTTGGCTTGTGTGGACAGCCCATTATCTTGCACCTGTCTGTGATTGTAACCCATGCTCTGAATATGAAAATCAAAATTATAATTAGAAAAAAAATTGGACAACAGACTTGTTACTGTGAGAAAAAAAGAATCATTATTTGACTTATGATATAAAAATAAAGTCTGGTACTCCAGAGCCAGAGCCATGCCATCAGCCTTGCTGTGAGTGTGTCTCTCATTTCTTCCAGCACCAACTCCTCTCACACCTTGGGGGACCCTGGACTGGCTGGAGCTGGTCTCTGGCACAGAGCTTTTTTTTTTTTTTAATTTGTAGAGTTACTTTAAATTTTGAATATATGTATATGTATAATATTTACATATATACATACATATATACTAGTGATATTAGTACATCTATATACAAATAGTCATGAATTTTGATTTATAAAGTCTTGGAGTGACTGCATCAGAAATAATTTGATGCTTGCACCTATATTTGGAGTCAGCATTGACAATGCAAAAAGTACAAATTCAGACTGATTACAGGTGATTTTTTTTAAAAAATTATCTATTTTGAAAGTCAGAGTTACAGTAAGGGAAGGGAAACAGTGAAAGAGAGATCTTCCTTCAGTCTGTTCACTCCCCAGATGGCCATCAGTGACCAGCGCTGTACCAGCCAAGGTCTCCCCCATGATGGGCAGCACCCCAAAGACTTACACCATCTTCTGAAGTTTTTCCCAGGAAGTTAGCAAGGAGCAGTCAGACCACTAACTGATGCACATACAAGATGCCAGCATTGTGGGTAGTGCGTTTCCTGCTAAGCCACAACGCCAGCCCCTTACAGGTAATTTTTAATCATGACTCAAGTGTCTGGAATGCTGTTGCTATTGAAAATAAAATGATGACTAACATTTATTAAGTTTCTAAAGACAACACCTACAGTGTGTCCTGATTATACACAATTATTTCATTTCTGAAATATTCGGTGAACATTAAATTGCATAACAATTCCTTCAGTTTTATACTTGTAAATTTTACAGAGTTAGTCTCTGGAATTAACCTTTTTTTAAAAAAAAAGATTTTTTTTTATTTGAAAGTCAGAGTTACACACACACACACACACACACACAGAGGTTTTCCATCAGAAGGTTCTCTCCTCAATTGGCCACAACGTCCAGAGCTGTGCCAATCGGAAGCCAGGAGCCAGGAGCCCCCTGCAGGTCTCCCACATGGGTGCAGGGGCCCAAGGACTTGGGCCATCTTGTACTGCTTTCCCAGGCCGTACCAGAGAGCTGGATCAGAACTGGAGCTGCTGGGTCTCTAACCAGCGCCCATATAAGATGCAGGCGCTTCAGGCCAGGGAGTTAACCCACTGTGCCACAGCGCCGTCCCCTTAACCTGCTTTTTAACTACATGAATGGTAAGCTATTGAAAGCACCCAGAAGGGAAGATAATTCTTTCATTTGACTCTCAAAAATTGCAAGATATCCAACATCCTTGACCTTCAAACACTAAATTGAAGTTCTCCCCCATTATTGGGACGAGCGAAAATATCACCATATATTTTCTATATATTCCCTCAAAGAGACACTGTCCCCATTGAGAATATCATCTGCATGTAAGAATAGTAGAGTGCCAAGGTAGCAATGTCTATAAAGCATTATATTATAGGAATATATTGCTATATAAATATCCTCCATAGGGCTGAGTAAACGAGAATATAGCTATTTAGAAAATAAGTCACAGTTCCTGCCATTTCTAGGTGAAAGTACCTTACTACCATTCAGTTTCTTTCTCCTTGGTCTCTTACCATTTACCTCTTTACCAACTCTACCCACCCACTCCTTATCCCATGGGATACCTCAAGGTCAATCTCTCTCTCCTCTGAAGTTCTTTTAAGAGCAGAAAAACAAAAATGGGTTCTCATTCTTTCCATTCTGTCCTCACAGTCCTGCCTCCATGGTAAGAATGATATCCCCAAGGTCAAATGATAGTGATAATGAGGCATCACTATAATCCTAAAAGCAATTAAACTCCTCATTTCCCCTAACACCTCCAGGGAAGCATAGGATTAGGGCTTCCCCTTTTGCATAGCTAGAGTACCCACCAAAGTGTATTTTAAAATGTAGCAATATTTATTTAAATGAACTGAAGTGTGTTTTGAAATGTAGGAATATTTATTTAAGTGAATCTGAAAGCAGCTAATGGCTTTAATAAATTTTAAGTGGCTTCTAAATATGAAATTTTTAAAACAAAACAAAGCTTTGAATTATAGTCTCAGACCCTCT